CCCATCTATCCATCCATCCATCCATCCAACCCCCACCCACCCACCCACCCATCCATCCACCCATCTATCCACCCATCCATCCACCCATCCATCCATCATCCATTCACCCATCCACCCACCCACCCACCCACTGACTCAATAATTTCTATTCCTTCATTTACCAATACCCTCATACCTATATAATGTATGCATATATTTGCTTGTCCACCCATCTGTCCATTCATCCTCTATGTATTCATCCTCCCACTTATCCATTTATCCATCTGTCAATTTGTCTGCCAGCAAACTATCATTCCTCCATCCACTTCCCAGTATATCAGTCCCTATGTCCATCTGTCTGTGCGCCCATCCATATATCCCTCTATCTACTTATACATACTATATACATGTACGCATCTACACATCCATACACCTCTATATAAGTACAAATGGCAGTATCTCTAGCTAGCTGCCCTGCCAGTCAGATCTTCCATTCTCTACATCCCTTCCATCATTTGTTAATCTTTCTACCTACCCACAATGCTGTTCACCTCTTCTCCAGTCTACCCTTACATCCCTGTCCACCAGGCCATCTCCTGGCTGCTCACTCTTGCTGTCCCTGGGCAAATGGTGTGGCAGAGGTGTAGTGCTGAGAAGCTGGCCCTCTTCCTCACTGACGTCTGGCCAGTGCTCGCAGTGTAGCTCAAGCGGCACCGACTGTAGAGATGGCAGCATTGCAGTCCACACAAGGGGCAGGGTGTGAAGCACTAGCAGCCCCTGTCCTGAGGCAGTGCCCCTTGCTGTCCTCTCCATGGGGTCATTGGGTTGCAATGAGTGTGGTGTTCCCGCTCAGCTGGAAGAAAGCAGAGAGAGGCCCCAGCTCTTCAATAGCAGCCTCTGCCACTGGGTGACCCTGAGCAGGTCTTTCCCTCATGTGGGCTGTTGTATCTGCATCACAGTGGGTTCAAGGCCCAAGTCCCCCAGATTTAGGAAGTCGTGAGTTTAAGATGCAGCCGCTATTCAAGTGGCCACCTAGAAGCTTTGAATGCTAAAGACTGGGGCACAGTTCAGGGGTAAAGGGCTTAGTGTGCCCAAGTGTCATCCACAGCACGGGGTGGGGGGAGGGAAGGGGGAAAGGAGAAGAGAGAGAAAGGGAGGAGGAGGGGAAGGGAGAGACAGAGAATGAGGGAAAGAATATGAGTCACCAAGAATTTGAAACACAAACATGCCAGGCTCTGGTGGCAGAGACAAGTGGTTGCCATGAACACATGTGGCTCACAAAGCCCTCAGCCTTTCCTGTCAATCTCTCAACACAAAAACGTTTGGTGGCCTCTGGCCTAGTAGTTCCAGGAAGCACAGAGTGTTCACTGTCATCTCTGATGAGGCTCTGAAGGCCCATGGCGCATGCTGTCTCTGCCTTTCTAAGGGATCTGGGACTGGGCGACCTGGGGAGATGAACAATGGACTGCCACCCTGTTCTCAAGTCCACATCACAATAGCTTTGCCATTCAAAGCCGAATCACGGCTCCTCTGCCAGGAGACATTTAGGAGATGTTTAAAACGTACTCATATGTCCTCCCTGCAAAATAACGGCCCTGCCAAGCTCAACCGAGGGGATGATTGACAGCTATGACTGAGCCTGCCTGTGATCGCTCAGCGATAGCCGCTTCGTGGCTGTGGCTGTGAGATGCCACAGGCGATCAGACGTGCCCCATATCAGGGATGGATAAGACGGCAACTCAGGAGTGGGGAGGGTCTCCTTCTCAGAAGAGGGATGGGAGCATTTTTGTTGCCCACACACTTGGAATAATGGGAAGTGGGTGAGAGGTCCCATGAGCAGATCCTGGGCAGGTGGGGGGGTGGTCAGGCTGCTGGGGGGGAAGCACAATGGGGGTGGTTGGAGAGTTTTCTAGGTAATATAGGGTGCGGGGTGCCCTCTCTTTATCCCTTAAGATCGGCCTAGATCCAGACCTTGTTCTGTAAGGTAATGTCACAGTGGCAGCCTCCTTTACTGGGTCCACAGGGCAGAGACAGCCTCAAGAGGGAGGGAAGAGGGCGCTGGTGCTGGGGTGAGCAGCTTTCACGGCGGGATCCCGCCAAGCTCACCCTGGACTGCAGGCTGCAGGTCGCGTTGCTCAGCATGGCACCCGGAAGGATGCTAAGTGGCTTCCAAGTGGTTGCAGTAAACAGCCCAACACTTTGGTTCTGCTTCTGTACCCTTGAGTCAGGCTTCAAACCCCTGTCCACTGGAGTCCAGTCACATGGCCCGGCCTGAGTTCTCCTCTCTCTGCAGAGAGATGACATGGAGGCCGTGCCAGGGTACCTGTCTCTGCACCAGACGGCTGATGTCATGACCTTGAAGTGGACACCCAACCAGCTGATGAACGGATCTGTGGGGGACCTGGACTATGAGAAGAGGTAAGAACTTCAGCTGGGGTCCCTCTACTCTCCAGACACAAGGATGCTCTCTTCTAGCCCAGCCTCCCTGCCGCTATGGCCTCAGAAGGAACACCAGCCTTAGGAGCACCTGGAGCCAAATGGCAGAGCCTTGGGGTAGACATGGTCAGCCGCTCACATCTACTCTACCAGGCCAGTGAGATGGCTTGGGAAGCAAAGGCACCTCCTGCCAAGCCTGACAACCTGAGTTCTATCCCTGGGACCCATCTGATGCATGGAGAGAAGTGACCTCTGACCTCCACCCATTCAACATAGCTCCCCCATTAACCAATAATTAATTAATTTTTTTAAAAATGCAATTTAAAATAATTTATAAGCATGCTCCCCAGACCTAACAAAGTGTAAGTACAGCAAATATAGGGACTGAAAATAACACCTCAGCCATGTGAGGACATATCAGACTGAATCGGGAACTGCACCCCGCCCAAGCATCACCTCCACAGCCCACTCCCCAGCCTCAGTTTCCCCATCTGTACTGCAGAGTGTGCACACATGTGCAGAGAGGACTAATAAACAGAAGGGGTACCATGGTTGCTGACCACCACGGAGGACGTCCACTTCCCTGGTGCTGGCATGGTCGACTGGTAGCCAAGGGCAGGAAGATATGTAATGATATTCTTCTCTGACTCCAATTGAGAGGCAGAGAGAGTGGAGAGAGGCAGTCCATAGGAGTAGTGTCAGAAATGAGATGCAGCCACTGGTTTGATACCTGTGCTAGTCTGGGTCCTCCCAGGAACAGGTGCCATGCAGGGGTCTCTGAAAAAGATTTCTTTGGGGGAAGGAACTGGGTTGGGGAGCTGAGGGCAGAAGCAGGAGCTGAAACAATAAGACTCAGACTGCCATGCACGATGACAAAGGATCGAGGGAGGAAGGTCACCCAGGAAGAATGTCCGCCATACCATCTGGGGGATCCTGGGCTAGAGGGGCCCGTAAAGGGGCCTCCTCCTTCCCAGGAATGAACCTAGACCATGTCTGTGTGCTCAGTCCTGACTGGCATCACGACAGCTTGGTGGAACCATGGTAGATGTGGGGTGGCTTGCAATACCCCTGGACTCTGCTCCCTGGTATGGAATTTCTCAGCGGTCCACATTCCCAGGTTTCCCTCCCATGGTGTTCTGATGGGGAAAACAATTATTTTAGGATGGTAGTGGATTCTGAGCTACAAACACATAGTTAAGTCAGCACTCAGAGTGGCCATGCCCCAAGCACTGTGTTCTCAGCTGACTGTGAGGGGCTCAGTCTGGGGACACAGATATTGGGACAGGTGGGCCTTGGTGAGAAGGCAGATGTGTGCCCCTGGGCTGGTCTTTTGGCTTCCTGCAGTCCCCTCCCTGCCCCCTTCCCTTTCCAGTGTCTACTGGGACTATGCTGTGACCATCCGCTTAGAGGAGATTGTTTACCTGCACTGCCACCAGCAAGGTAGGGAATAATGGGGACAGCAGGTGGCTGGGCATCCATCATGGATCCCTGTCCCGACTCACCATCTCACCCCATTCATTTAGCATCACAAGACACTTGGGTGTGCCTCCTGGAGCAAACGGTGTTACCTCTCTGAGTGAGGTACTGTGGAGCCAGATACAAAGTAACCACTTAGTGACAGGGTAGTGTAGTGCAGCCAGATACAAAGTAACCACTTAGTGACAGGGTAGTGTAGTGCAGCCAGATACAAAGTAACCATTTAGTGATAGGGTAGTGTAGTGCAGCCAGATACAAAGTAACCACTTAGTGACAGGGTAGTGTAGTGCAGCCAGATACAAAGTAACCATTTAGTATAGGGTAGTGTAGTGCAGCCAGATACAAAGTAACCACTTAGTGACAGGGTAGTGTAGTGCAGCCAGATACAAAGTAACCACTTAGTGACAGGGTAGTGTAGTGCAGCCAGATACAAAGTAACCACTTAGTATAGGGTAGTGTAGTGCAGCCAGATACAAAGTAACCACTTAGTGACAGGGTAGTGTAGTGCAGCCAGATACAAAGTAACCACTTAGTGACAGGGTAGTGTAGTGCAGCCAGATACAAAGTAACCACTTAGTGACAGGGTAGTGTAGTGCAGCCAGATACAAAGTAACCACTTAGTGACAGGGTAGTGTAGTGCAGCCAGATACAAAGTAACCACTTAGTATAGGGTAGTGTAGTGCAGCCAGATACAAAGTAACCACTTAGTATAGGGTAGTGTAGTGCAGCCAGATACAAAGTAACCACTTAGTACCTGTGGCATAGTGCAGTCAGATACAAAGAAATTACTTAGTAACAGGGTAGTGTAGTGCAGCCAGATACAAAGTAACCACTTAGTGACAGGGTAGTGTAGTGCAGCCAGATACAAAGTAACCACTTAGTACCTGTGGCATAGTGCAGCCAGATACAAAGAAATTACTTAGTAACAGGGTGGTACAGTGTGGCCAGATACAAAGTAACCACTTAGTGATAGTGGTGTAGTGCAGCCAGGTATGAAATGACACAGACTGTTGTCTCTGGAAACAGGACTTAAACCCATATCTTTGACAGAAATCAGTGTTGTGCAGACCTGAGATCAGTAACCACTATATCCCATTAAAGTTAGAAAAAGGTACGTTTAGAATAAGCAGGGTCAGCTGTGCTTCTTCTAGGTATGGAGCTCAATGGGTTAATCCCCTTTACTAAGGCAGACCTTGGCTCTGATCCAGGCTTTGCAGCTTACCAGGTGTGTGACCTTGGGGATGATACAAAACCTCTGAGTCTTGATTTTGTCCCTTGTAAAATAGGCAATAGTAGCTAAGCCTCACAGGGATGTTCTGGGAGTTACAGTAAGATAGAACTATTAACACACAGTGTTGGTGTGCATTAGGCATCTAATGCATGCTCTTAGGAGTCACAACTCAGAGCCTCAGAGTTGGCTCCCCTGGATCTGATTGGTCTTGCGGGTGGAGGCATGTGTTTGCAGAGTGGGAACTACACCATGCTTCACAGTGATACCTGCCATTGTCTCTTATCTGGTGGTGGCAGTGGACAGTGGTGGGACTGTGGTGCTGGTGAGCCAGGACGGGATCCAGAGGCCACCCTTCCGCTTCCCCAAAGGCGGGCACCTGCTACAATTCCTCTCATGCCTGGAGAATGGGCTTCTTCCACATGGGCAGCTGGACCCACCGCTTTGGTCACAGCGAGGAAAGGTAAGGGGTCAGCTGTGGGAGGCTGGGTTGATGCCAGTTGTCACTGGACTTTACTGTGACTTGGTGAGCTCCTGCACTACCCTCTGAGACCCTCAGTATTGCCAGGCTTTGGGACAGATGGCTCTCTGAAGTCTGCCCTGGGATATGTTCCTGCAGGGGAAGGTATTTCCTAAGCTACGCAAGCGGAGCCCACAGGGATCCTCAGAGTCCACATCTTCAGATAAAGAGGATGACGAAGCCACAGATTATGTATTCCGCATCATCTACCCTGGCATGCAGTCCGAATTTGGTGAGCATCCCTGGGCCCTGCACTCAGTAGCTTCTCCTGAGAACCATTCCAAATGTTACAAGTAAAGGGCAACAGTTCTGGGGCCAGCACAGGAGACTCAGAACCAGAAGTGTCCCAGTGCCTTCCACCTCCTCCAAAATGAGAACTAACAGCCACCCCTTATTCAGCAAGTAAAGATGCCACTGGGCAGGAGGTGCCATTAATAGTGACAGTGGTGTGGGTTCTGGAATGCTGGCTTGATGTGGGCAGGTTTATACTCATTTCTTCCCTGGCCTTCTTTTTCCTCATCTGTGAAATGGGCTGTCTGCTGCAGGCATTCAGCACACACAGAACAGGTACACTCTAGCTCCTGTGTGGTGTCTGTTGTCAGTATCTCTTCAAGTTATGAGGGGTCAAAATGCAAGCACAAAGACCTGAATTCAAATATCTAATAAAAAGCCAAGTTTGCTTGCACATACCCATAATCCCAGCATTGGGGGACAGAGGTAGGCAAATTCCACATGTTCCCTGGCTAATCAGCACAGCCAAAATGGCAAGCCTTTGATTTGTAGGATACCCTCAATGGAATAAAGTGATAAAGGGTAAAAGAAAACACCCCAGATCTTGCTCTGGCCTGTGCACGCAAGCATATTGTGCATGCAACACTTGTGTGCACACTCCAGCATGCGTGCATGAGCTTGCACACACATGTACACACACACACACACACACACACACACAGAGCCAGGCATGGTATGACAGCAAGCACTTGTTACCCTGGCACTAGGGTGTCAGAGTCAGGCAGGCAGTCTCCTGGGTCTCACTAACCAACCAGCTTATCCTGCTTGCCAAGTTCCAGGCCAGTGAGAGTCTCTGTCTCAAAAGCCAAAATACATAGTATTAGAGAGCAGCACTTGAGGCTGACCTCTGATCTCTACAAGCATGTGCACAAACATGCACAGACATGTTTGTGTGTACCTGTACAAACACGCATGTGAACACACACACCTACAAGCCTGGGTTGAGCCAGGTGCGATGCAGCGCACTGTAATCCAACACTAGGGAGGGAGGTCGAGGCAGGAGGGATTCAAGTTTGAGACTAGCCAGGGCTGCTAGGCAAGTCTTAAAGAGAAACGGGCCCTAGCTTTCCCCCATTACTGCTACTACTGCCGCTGCCATGGGTCTCTGTTATTTCTGCAAAGTGAGAACAACTGCCTTCTCTACAGATCACCAACGATAAATGGCAAACCTGACCTTAGTGCCTGGCACACTGGTTTATAAATGCCCAGGGTTTTCTCCTTTAATCAGCACAATGTATGTGGGAGCTGTGTGGAGCAGGGTGGGGTGGGGGTGGGGTTTAGAACCCAGAGGAAACTGGTTTCTCTGTCCCACCCACCTAAGCCCCTCCCCCCTCACTGAGTCTTTTTGTTTTCTGTCTCAAGTTGCCCTTGACCTCTTGGGCAGCACTCGACCCGTGTCCATTGGCCCTGCCTGGATGATGCTTGCTGCTGGCCAGTCCGTTCTGGTGGTGGCCAGGGGGATCCCGTGGGCACAAACCAGAGGGTACCTCACCGTCCCCACATGGAGTGTGAAGGAGCAGCCCCCCAGTAATGTCTGGTTCCCCTTCCTCCGGGGCTGGGTACCACTTCAGCCATGTCATCATTTGAGTTTTGTTCCCAGGGAAAATGGAAAAAGCAGACAAATGAACAGTTTCTCAGAGTTAGGTGCCTCTCAGTCCCCACCCCGAAGAAGGCAGCAGTTAGGTTCTGTGACTCATTGGTGCTGTCTGCAAGGCTCGAGTGTTGGAGGGATGCTCACCACCCCTGTGCCTGTCTGAGAACTGGGGTACTTTCTGGTCAGCTCAGTGGTGAGTCTGTGAGGAGGGAGAGAGGATCCGGACTCTCTCTGTGGGTGCAAGAGCCTCATTCTGAACCCAGCATGCTTCTCTGATCTGTGGGTCAGGGTGACCCAGTCAGCCTCTGGGCTCTGAAGACAAGGAAAGGTGTCAGGAGTACAAGTCTCTCTCCCTTTCTGGGCTCAGGACAAGAGTCCGGGTGAGAGCTGTGTCCTAAGAGGCCATAGCAAGGGAGAAGATGAGTACCTGCCTCCCATCCCAGAGTAGGGACCAGCAAATCCCTAGCCAGGGCCCACACCAGCCCTGTTCTGTAGAGCCCAGGAGCTGGGGACATGGTTTATGTCCTTGACTGTAAAACAGCAAAAGAAAGACTTGGGTCAGCGAGATGGCTCAGCAAGTAAAGGCGCTTGCTACCACGCCCGATAACCTGAGTCCAATCCCCGGAATCTACATCGTGGAATGGGTATATTTGAGGGCATTGTCTACAGGACATCAGGGGTGCTGAATGGGCATATGGATTTTTTTAAATATAATTTATTTAATTTTATTTTACGTACATTGGCATGAGGGTTTCAGATCCCCTAGAAGTGGAGTTACAGACAGTTGTGAGCTGGGAATTGACCCCGGGGTCCTCTGGAAGAAGCACCCGGTGCACATAACCACTGAGCCATCTCTCCAGCCTGGCATATGGCATTTGGGGGAGCCCCGACCTTCTCGTTCAGGAGTGTGAACAGCGTTAATGCTCTCCCTGGCTAGATTCCCTGACCCCGTAGACTCAGCCTGTGTGTTGAGATGGGTCCCTTCCCTTCTTACCACACAAGCTCCTGTAGAGGTGCTCCAGGAACTCAGCCCCCCCCCACACAGCCTTTCCCCAGAAGTAAGTCCCCTTCCCCAATGTCACCTTCCTGGGAGCAGAACTGAATGAGGGCATGGCGAGGTGAGGTTGTCTGCAGCCTTCCTGCCTCTGCGCTCCTTCCCCTCTCCTGCCTTCGCCCTCCCTCGCCTTGCTCGCCAGAGCCTCTGAATCTTGGTGGTGGTTTTCACCAGATCGGGCGGGCTCGGGAACTCCATCAGATTGTGGTTGGGCAATTTTGGGACTGTCACACTCAGATCCTCCCTGTCCCTGAGCCAGCTTTGAGGGAGCTGCTTGCTTTGGGGTCAGGTTTCTGTAATCCACATTAATTTAACCATGGTTATTGCTGGAACTCCCCTTTCCACCCGCTACCTACCACAGTGCCCCAGGACCTGATGGATGTCTCTGTGAACAACCTTCCACCGCTGTGGCAACCCAGTCCTCGGAAGTCTTCCTGCTCTTCCTGTTCACAAAGCGGCTCGGCTGATGGAAGCTCAACCAATGGCTGCAACCATGAGAGGTAGGTGGTGCTTAGACTACACATGGAGGAGCTTGGAGCAGTGACCAAAGGCCCTAAACACGGCCTGTGGATCCCCAAAAACTAGGTTTAACTGATAGCCTTGTCGTGGTGGTAGCCACTGGAATTCCCGTGTGTGTGTGTCGGTCGAGGTAAGGTTCTGCTGCATTAACAAACAGTCCTGAAACATCCATGGCTTTTTACAGTAAATGCTGAAGGGTCCTGTGTGCTATGGCTCTGCCTTCTAATAGACATCGACTTGGATGTCGCTAGTCATGGTATCAGAGGCAATGGTATTTCTGCTTTCAATATTGTGTCCCCCACTCACAGTGAAGCCAAGAAATACAGGCCCAGCATGCACTCGAAGCCAGAAATATTATTTGACAATGGCCCTGTGTGCTGTGCTCCTCCACAAAACATTAACTTTAATAAGTAGGGCTATTAGAAGGAACTAGTAAGTGTTGGGTCCCATGACCCAGCTTCTCAGCCATGTTCATGGACTGAGTGATCATCCAGCTGCATCCAAGCCACAGAGGTGCAATGAAGGCGAGATTTCCCCAGGGAAATCTGGGGTGTGACAGAGAAGGGGCGTGTAGACGGAAGCCACCACAGACTCCCTCTGCCTGACAGCTGACATCAATCTGTGTGGAGCATGGATGCTTCCTCTGCAGAGCAGCTGAGCAGTATGACCCTCTGCTCTCCTTCCCCCTCCTCCTTCCTCCCCCTCCCCTTCCCTTCCTCTCCCCTTTCTCTCCCTCCTCACCCGCTCCTGCAGGGCTCCTCTGAAACTGCTCTGTGATAACATGAAGTACCAGATCCTTTCCAGGGCCTTCTATGGATGTGAGTACAGGTCTCTATTACTGCTGCGATCTGCAAGAAGCATTTATTGAGTGCCTCTCGTATGCCAGGCAAGTTCCTGGTGCCCATGGCAGAGTGGGTGAGGTTGCCCTGGCAGGTACTGGGGCAGGCAGGTTAGTCCTGAGGGGACAGGGCCATCTTGGAAAGCAAGCAGAGCATGCCGAATCTCCCAGGCATTCCCTTCTCCATCCAGCAGTGACTTCTGTTCATATCTGGCCTTTGTTCTTGAAGGGGAGGTGGACCCAGAATGAGCCCAAACATTCCTAGGGTTTAGCAATCAAACCACCTGTCCTCAACTTGTCTTTGTATAGAAAGGGAATGGTGAGAATTTTCTGGGTTGGAGGCCCCTGAAGATGGGGTTGGGTAGCAGGACAATCCCATGGAGCATTCAGGAGAGACTGCTGAAGTGTGCTGGATAGAAGATGACATCTGCCTTCCCTCCCGGGCCAGGGCTCGCCTACTGCAGACACCTGTCCACCGTGAGGACCCACCTGTCGGCCTTGGTCAATCATGTGATTGTGTCTCCAGACCTGCCCTGTGGCGCTGGGCAAGGGTTGACAGCCAGCATCTGGGAGCAGTACATCCAGGATAGCAGGGTGAGCAGGGCAGGGCTTGTCCACCAGGGGCAGAGTGGGGGGGAGGCCATCTTGTCAGGCCAGCCTCACAGGGACCCAGGTAGACACGCCTATCTCAACATGGATCCTCAGGCCCCAAGACCCACAGCTAACTTGAGCCCCAGCCAGGTGAGGGGGTCAGAAAACAGTCAGAGGTACAGCATCCCAATCTCAAACCCCAAATCCAGAATGTTCTGGAGTTGAAACTCTGGGTATTGATATGAAACCATGATGGAAAAGCCCACACCGGACTTCACATGACAGGTCACAAACACGCCACACACTAAAAATGCTGTATAGAGTAACCTTCAGGCCATGTGTATAGGTCTATGTCAAACGTATGGATTTCGTGTTTAGACGTGGCCCATCCCTATGAATAAATAAACATATACATATATGTGCAAATGTTCAAATATCCAAGAAAGTCTGAAACCCTTCAGGGCCTGAACATTAGGGACAAGGGCTATTCAACCTGTAAGAGGAGAGAAGGGAACATGGACTGGGCCGGGTGGTGCACGCATGTCACTGTGGCTCTCATAAAGGTGAGGCAGAGGGGTTGTGAGTTTGAGGCCAGCCTAAACCACTTTGTGAGTTCCAGGTTCATCTGAGTTACATAGCATAACGTTCTGAGTAAATGTATGGTAATGTGTTGGGCTGAATTCATAACTACTTTGGGCACATGTGGGCCTTTGGCTGTGACCTAGAAGCTGCTCCGACACTGTCTGTCTCGGGCTACATCCTGGGCTCCTGATGTCTGTCTGTTTGTCTGTCTCAGGCTACAGCCTGGGCTCCTGATGTCTGTCTGTCTGTCTGTCTGTCTGTCTGTCTGTCTGTCTGTCTCAGGCTACAGCCTGGGCTCTTGCTGTCTGTCTGTCTGTCTCAGGCTACAGCCTAGGCTCCTGCTGTCTGTCTGTCTGTCTCGGGCTACATCCTGGGCTCCTGATGTCTGTCTGTTTGTCTGTCTTAGGCTACAGCCTAGGCTCCTGCTGTCTGTCTGTCTGTCTGTCTCAGGCTACAGCCTGGGCTCCTGCTGTCTGTCTGTCTGTCTGTCTCAGGCTACAGCCTAGGCTCCTGCTGTCTGTCTGTCTGTCTCAGGCTACAGCCTGGGCTCCTGTTGTCTGTCTGCCTGTCTGTCTGTCTCAGGCTACAGCATGGGCTCCTGCCTCAATGCTGTCTGTCTGTCTGAGGTTACAGCCCGGGCACTTAGCCCAGTGCGTCCAACTGTGCCCTTGTCTTTGTTTCTGTACCTACAGCTACAAAGCTGTGCATCTGTCTGGGTTTCTTTCCTGTTGCTGTCATAAAATAACCCAACACAAGCAACTTAAAGGTGTGAGGGTTTGTTTCCACTACAGTTCCATAGCAGTGGGAAAATTGAGGCTACAGGCTCAGGAGGCAGTTGGTCCCATCTCATCCAAAACCACATGGTGGCTCACAACCATCTGTAATAAGGTCTGGTGCCCTCTTCTGGCCTGCAGGGATACATGCAGGCAGAACACTGTATATGTAATAGACAAATCTTTAAGGAGAGAGAGAGAGAGAGAGAGAGAGAGAGAGAGAGAGAGAGAATGAATGCAAGCAGTTGCTCATCTCACTCCAGGGCCTAGGGAATGACACTGCCCACAGTTAAAATAGGTTTCCCCACACTAATTAATATAATCATGCTGATCTCCCAGAGGCTTGACCAGATCCCAGAGGGGCTCATCTCCCAGGTGATACTAGACTCTGTCAAGTTGGCAATCGAAACCAGCCACAGCACCACAGAGATCCTAGAGCTAACCCACAGAACATGTATGTACACACAGATCTGCCTCTAGAACACTTTACAACATACAAGTCAAAGCCAGGCATGGTGGCACACACCTTTAATCCCAACACTGGAGAGGCAGAGGCAGTGGGATCTCAGTGAGTTCAAGTCCAGCCTGGTCTACAAAGAGTTCTAGCACAGCCAGGGCTACATAGTGAGACCCTGTCTCAAACAAACACACAAAAAAGGCATATAAGTCACATACAATATATATAGTTAAACAGGATTTTTTAATCTGCACATCTACTGATATGTAAAGATACATTTATACCTAACTGCATATTACATAGCTCATATGTTTCTGTGTTTATTATACACACATAAACTTTCTAAAGTTATATATCATCATATCTTTGATCTCTCATCTATACCTATAGAGTAATAGAAATATATAATAATATGGTAATATTTAAATAGCCATACTTTAGTATTCTTATCTGCCCCCAACCCGCGGGGCAGTCAGTAACGAACCAGGGAACACCTAAGAAAGAATTAAGAACAAGGGGACACAAAAGGATGGTAGCAAGACAGTATTCTGATCAGGCTGACAAATTTTGTTTTCTCAGGGGAGGCTTGTACAGGACCATGGGCAGGATGTGAGCGGGGGTTTGCACGTGGGCAGGATGAAAGGGTCAGTAGAAGGAATGCCCTGAACTATTCTTTAACTGGCTGTAAAACTGTAGCAGGAGGAATATCCTGACCTATTCTTTAACTGGCTGGAAAACTGTAGCAGGAGGAATATCCCGAGCTATTCTTTAACTGGCTGGAAAGCCGCAAGCCTGTTTCTAGGAATGCTCTGCTGAACATTCTGCTTACTTCTTAAGTCCTTTTCTATCTCGGAGGCCAGAGTAGTGAGGATGGTGATGGTCCCCAACACTTATCTACCTTATCTATATTTCTTTTTAACTTTTTAAGTATTGATTTATTTTCTCGTGTGTTGGGGGTATGCTAAAGCCGCGGTGTGCATGTGCAGGTCAGAAGACAGCAGCTTGTAGATCTTGGTTTTTTCTTTCACCATGTAGAAACCAACCAGGCGGCCGGGCTTGGCTGCGGTCGGGCTTGGCGGCGAGTGCCTTTACTGGCTGAGCCATCCCTTGGCCTCTAATCCATCTCTTCTCTGCTGTGAGCAGCAGTATCAACCTCTTCTATTTTTTTCCAGGCTTCTTCTTTCAGATCTCAAAGAAATAGTTAGAATTCAGGACTGCAAGTAGCCCACGGTTTATTATTTAAATTCCTGTTGACAGGAACTTCCTTTTTATCTTCTTCTTCTAATTTGTTGTTGGGTGGGGTGGAATGTGGGGGACGAATCTCACTAGATGGCCCTGCTTGGCCTTGAACTCACAACCACCCCTACATCAGCCTCCATAGTGTCTGGGCTGGGTTTGCAGACCTGTGCCAGGACAGGGTTTCTCTGTGTAGCTTTACAAAGCTACCAGGCTGGCTCTTTTTGTTTTGTTTGTTTTTGGAGACAGGGTTTCTCCGTATTACTTTGAAGCCTGTCCCTGAACTCGTTCTGTAGACCAGGCCAGCCTCAAACCCACAGAGATCCGCCTGCCTCTGCCTCCCGAGTGCTGGGATTAAAGGCATGTACCACCAGCGTCCGGCTCCTCCTAGCTGTTTTTAAAGAGTCGTTATCGGTGGTACTGGAACCCTGGTGGCGGCGGCACCCTGGCGCCTGCCCTCCCTCACTACTGGCATTTTGATTTTGAGAATGGGTTCCTAGAAGTTGATTGCTGTGTATTAAGACGTGAAATAGATAAGCTAGAGTACTCTTGCAACCTCCCACGGCCACAGTGACAGCCTGCTGGTTCTGGGGGAGCTGCGGGACTGACTGGCTTCTAGGCTCAGCTCCAGCTCTGCAGAGCCTGCATCTTCCCCGGGAAGGAGCCCACGCCTGTTTTTCTAAAGTCCCCGGAGTGCTTCCGTGATCCAATATAAGGTCAAATTGGGTGAAACAAGACATGAGCCAAAGAGAATTTTCAGTGAACACTCCTCCTACTGCCTGGCCCTTTCTTGAGGCTCAGCCACCTTTCTGTGCTGGGTACAGTTGAGTCCCAGGAACACAGCCCCTGCTGTCTTGTTGCCAGGCAACACAGGGCTTATCTCACTGAACAGTCCTGTGAGCAGTGCTGGTGTGTGCACATCTGTAAGACGTGTGAACCAGCCATTCCCTGGCACTCGGGGTCTCCTGAGAAACCTGTGGGAACCTGCCCTGGCCGGCAAATAGCTTCAGTTACTTCCTCTCATATCCATTGACCAGAAACTGTCATATGACCACACCTAGCTGCAAAGGAGGCTGGGAAAAGGAGCCCAGGAACTGGATTTTCTGTTTTTATTATCATCTCGTGTCTTTTCATTACAGCAAATAATTGAAATTGTAACATTTGTAAGCAACAGGAGCCAAAGACCATAAGTACAGCAATAAGTGTTAAAATTTAGAATAGCATATATTACAGAGGGTTAGGGGCTGGGGAGATGGCTCTATGGGTAAGAGCACACTTGCTGTTGTGGAGTGGAACCGAGTTCAGTTCCCAGCACCCACAGCAGACACTCACAGTGGCTTGTGACTCCAATCCAGAAGATCTGCCATTGCCCTTTGGTCTCTGAGGACACCAGGCATGCATGCAGCACGCATGAACTTACGTTGGTATTCACACATACACATAAAATACATACAGACAGAGGTCCAGGTTTTTACCTATGAAGAAAGATTGGGGGGGGCGCAGCAAACTGAACCTGAAGTAAACAAGACAGGAGGAAGGAATTAGCTCAGACAGAGGAGAGGTGAGAGATGGAGATAAAGCTGGCTGGGAAACACCTTCTTAACCAGAACTCTGTGGTGTGTGTGTGTGTGTGTGTGTGTGTGTGTGTGTGTGTGTAGGGCACATAGAGGACCACAGTCAGAAGTCAGAGAGGAGACATCACCACAGACTCAGTGGCAGGCAAAGGGAAGGAAGATACCACCCAAATGCTCTGAGGACGTATGTACCAACAAACTAACCCAGAACCCACAAACTCCTAGAGACCACAACAACTGAAAATCCTTCAGAAAGAAGCGAGCAGCCTGGAGATGAGTCATTTCATAACTCTTATAAAGAAAAGCAAGGGGGCTGGAGAGGTGGCTCAGTCATTGAAAGGACTGGGGGCTCTTTCAGAGGACCTGGGTTCGATTCACAGCGCCTGCGTGTCAGCTCGCAACTGTCTGTAACTCCAGTTCCGGGGAATCTTCCTCCCTCTTGTGGCCTTTGCAGGCACTGCATGCACAATGTGTACTTTCATCCATTCAGGCAAAACACACACACACACACACACACACACACACACACACACACACACACAACATAAAAACGAAGGGAGTCAAAAACTTAAGGTAGAGACGGCTCTCCTGGGAGCTTCCCTCCCCCCCGCATTGCTTAAAGAAAGGAAGGTGTTTTCTGATGAAGATTTGTGTTCTTGCCACAACCCGTTTTCTGATTTCTAAACAGGCTACCTGGATGGTCAGAGTTCCCACCAAGGCTATGCTGTAGCTGCAAAGCTTTGCACCCATGATTTTCCTTGCAGTAACAAATCTAAGACTGCACTACAGTGAGCCTCGAAAGCCCCTCCTGTGCAGAAAGCTGCTGGTGTGAGAAGAGGCGGCTGGAAATGTTTATTTTCCATTGTTTTGCTTCAGAGTAATTTTCTTCCAGCTGACTCGAGCTGAGATTGTGAGAGAATCAAATGGAAACGCAGTTCGTCCATCAGACGCTGCCTTGGGCTCATGCCTCCTCCTCCTGCCCCCTTCTGTCTTCTCTCCTCCTCCTTTTGGTTTGGGTTCTTTATTTTACTTTATATGAGGCCGCGAGTTGGTTGGCCTCAGACTCTCTCTTTGTAACTAAAGCTGACCTTGGCCGCTGGGATCACAGCAAGCGCCTTCACACCTGTGGTCCCATTAAAAACAGGTCCACCCTAGATGGTCATATCTTTAATTTTTCTCCCACTGCACCTCAGTTTGGCCTCCCCTCCCCTCCCTCAATCCTCGTTCCTGTACTGGCTGCTCTTATAACCCCCGCGTGGGTTCCCTCCCACACCACCCAGTGCCCCCGTTGGTGGGTTTTGGGGATGGGTCCAGTTTTGCTCCTTCTTTGATAGCCAGGGTTAATCACGTGTTCCTGTACTATGCCATCTCTCTGTTACTGTAACAAATTCCCAGACTGAGCAGCTTATAAAGGAAAATGGTTTGTCTTGGCTCACTGTTATCAAGATTTACGAACCCTGTTGCTGTGGGCCTACGGCAGCACGGGACAGCATGTCAAGAACACTTGGCAAGTGCAAAAGATAAAGTCTCACCGTGGGGCTGAGCTGCCGCTCCTCCACTGTGACCTTAGACCTGGGTGGGCCTCCAGCTCTTCAAGGCCCACCAGCTTCCAATAGTGCCAAGCTAGGGACCGAGTCATTAACACAGGCATTTCGGGGGATGTTCCAGACACAAAAGACATGGCTTCGCTCATTCGCACCAGGCTCTCGGCACAGGAACAAGACTGCAGGGCAGCAGGCCACCCTGGCTTCTCCGTTGACCAGACTTTTTGCCCCTCCCTGACAGACTTACCCAGAGCAGGAGCTGCTGCGGCTCATCTACTACGGGGGTGTCCAACCTGAGATCCGCAGGGCTGTTTGGCCCTTCCTCCTGGGCCACTACCAGTTCGGGATGACGGAGATGGAGAGGAAGGAGGTCGGTCACCCGTAAAGGCAATGAAAGGAGCTGGGTGGGGGCTGTGGAGGAGTTGGGGGCTGTTGTCGTGTTATTCGTGACAGGGAAAAGACAGGAACATCGAAGAGAGAGCTGTGTGGTGGAAATATGACACAAGGGAATCTTCAAATAAGTTGGCCTCCTGTTTTGAGGTCAGATGGACTCCTGGACATTTGTAGAAAGCGCTGCAGGGACCTGTGTGACTCAGTTTCCCCCATGGTGACTTCCAGCAGAACTGTGATGGTGATGTCACAGAGCACTGATGCTGATACAGAGCCCACTTCACTCAGGCCTCTCCGTCCTCCTGAAATTCCGTGTGTGTGTGTGTGTGTGTGTGTGTGTGTGTGTGTGTGCGTGCTGGTGTGTGTGTGTATGCTGGTGTGTGTGTGTATGTTGGTATGTGTGTGTGTATTGGTATGTGTGTGTGTATGCTGGTGTGTGTGTGTGTGCTGGTATGTGTGTGTGTATTGGTATGTGTGTGTGTGCATGCTGGTGTGTGTGTGTGCTGGTGTGTGTGTGTGTGTGCTGGTGTGTGTGCATGCTGGTGTGTGTGTGTGTGTGTGCTGGTGTGTGTGTGTGTGCTGGTGTGTGTGCATGCTGGTGTGGTGTGTGTGCTGGTGTGTGTGTGTGTGCTGGTGTGTGTGTGTGTGTATGTGTGTTCACGCTTATTTCCCTTGTGTGCATACTTGTACCTTTCTGGCGCCCTAAGAATCCTCACCTTGTCTGTCTGTAACGTCGTCTACCTCCATCCCAGCCCTAACCCCTGGCTCCTGCTTACCCGTCTGCCATTTCCAGAATTTTCTCTTATCAAGGTTGTATTTGATACAAATCTCTAGATTCACACAAACTGCTCTATTATTACCAGTTTCCTTTACGTGGCTGAGTATCCCTGTGTGCATATGCCACAGCTTCACTCTGAATTGGGTGATTGATAGCTGGGCAATGCCCAAATCATATATATATGTCTAAGAATAGCTAACTGCTGACATCCAGTGCAGCTTTTGTGTGTTGGGGAATGCCTGTTAATGAAATTACTGGGTCATGTGATGGAAGCATGTTCAGTCTTGAAGAAAATGAGAAACTCCAGCAATGGATGTCCCATGTGATATTACCACTGGCTGTCTATGAGTGTCCCTCGCCTGACGGGTGGGAGGGTGGATGGACAGGAGAGAGACGATGAGATGGACGCATGGATGGGTGGGAGGGTGGATAGCAGAATTTTACTCATCTTGTAATCCATATGCCTGACTTGGTGCCTGGCACACTGTGGGTACTTATCAAAAGAAGCCAATGAGTAAATGGATCAAGTAATTAATAAATGAAGAAACAGAGGAACCTTGCAAACAGTCGAAGGCTGTGTGACTGAATGAATCAGTGGAAGGTGCAGAGTCGGAAGGGGAGCTGGGGTAAAGTGCTCTGTGGTATTTCTCAGCGCAGGACATCACGCAGCTCGTATCTGTTGGGTGCTGGCTACACACATGTGGACACGTCAGAGCCCAGGCAGTTCGGCACCTTCTGTAATCTTGCGCATGTGTTGATAGGTGGATGAGCAGATCCACGCCTGCTACGCACAAACCATGTCCGAGTGGCTGGGCTGCGAGGCCATCGTGAGACAGAGGGAGCGGGAATCCCATGCTGCTGCCCTGGCCAAGTGCTCTTCGGGGGCGAGCTTAGACAGCCACCTTCACCGGATGCTGCACCGGGACTCTACCATCAGCAACGAGGTAATGGACAGCTGGCTGGCAGGAGGGGAACGGAGTTTTGGGGCAGCCTTGCCGTTAGCTTTTGGGGAGGGCTAGGGGGATCTTCAGAATCAGGTCTAGGTCCGGATCCTACCCAGAGTCTCTTGCCAATGCCTTCGCTTTGGGCTCAGTTCCTGCATGCAGTGGGAAAGGTGGAGGGTGGGTACATCCCTAAGAAGACAGCGTGTACCAGATTCCCATGTAGCGTCTGCCCTCTATGTGTTCAGTTAACGCTTCCTGGATAGCTGCTATATGAAAGTACTTTCAAGAATGTTCAGAATGGGCTGGAGAGGTGGCTCAGAGGTTAAGAGCACTGGCTGCTCTTCCAGGGGAACTGAGTTCAATTCTCTCTGTAATGATATCTCTTCTGGTGCCCTCTTCTTGCATGCAGGCATACATGCAGACAGAACACTATACATAATAAATAAATAAATCATATGTATATATATGTGTATACATACATATGTGTATATGTGTGCATATATATGTGTGTGCGTATACATATACATATATACATATATGTATATGTACATATATGTATATATATATATGGTTAGAATGTTCTGGTAGCTAAGGTAGGTAGATCACACAGACTTTAGCTGATCAGCCTGGAACAGAATGGCTGAAGCCACTGCAGGGTAGAGCCTAGCGTCAGAGTGGGGAGGGGCAGGGAGGTTCCAGGACAGAAAAGAAACCCCATGAGTCCCACCTGTTACGGGGAGGAAGGAAATCCTAGCCAGAGCTCTCAAGTTAACAGAGCAGTTAAAGGTGGGGTGCTCCGATGTGGGGACTGGAAGGGGTGGGACTCAGAGGCCAAGGTCATCTCTGCGGAGGCTCCAGGGCACAGCTAGGGAGCTGAGGCTTTGTGGAGGCACTTGTCCCAGTCCGGAGGAGTGGAATCAGGCTTCCCGGCTCCCAACCCAGCAGCACCAAGTGTGACTTCTGTCTCTGTCTCTCTGGTTCCTGTGTGTCTCAGTCCTCCCAGAGCTGCAGCTCAGGACGCCAGAATCTCAGATTGCAGAGCGACTCCAGCAGCAGCACACAGGTGACTTTCAGAGGCCACGCCCCTCGTGCCCCATCCATCATGCAAGCCCCGCCCTTGGACGCGGGGTTGAAGGGATTAGATGTCCATCATTTACCCGCTACTTTGCTTGATGCACGGTTTCTCTGTAGCTTTGGCACCTGTCCAGGAACTCGCTGTGTAGACCAGGCTGGCCTGGAACTCACAGAGACCAGCCTGTCCCTCTGCCTCCAAGTGCTGGGATAAAAAGGTGTGTGCCCCCACCACCCGGCCTGTATTGGGGTTTTTTTGGCTAGTGTTGGAAGTGGACTCTCTTAAATAGTAGCACAAGCAGTTGCGGCCTCCTTGAAATCCACAGTGATGGTTTGCAGCCTCTGCAGACATCAGTGTGCCAGGATCCAAGTTCTCTGTGTAAAATAACAAGCGTGTCCACAGACACTGCATTCTTCAGGTCACCTCTAGGCAGCTCACAAGAACAGTACAGTGCAAAAACCATGGAAACAGGGTGCGTCATCAGGAAGGAAAGACAGGCGCCTGAGCCTGTGTAGGTACAATGCTCGGGGGAGGGGTATTTTCACTCACTCAGTGTTGGTTCAATCGTGGACCTCGACTCTGAATTCAGAGGCTGAACAGAGCCTCCTCTCCTACAAAGCATCACAACGCACGCCTGCACTTTGTTCCAGGGTACTTAACCTCTGTCCTCCCTCGAAACAGTACTGCAATCATCAGTCACTATGTGGCCTTCCAGAACCTTCTGGATGCCTTTACACACACACAGAAATACCTAATGGAGAGCAAGATGTGGTAATTCTTAAAATCCCACATAAATGCCAGCAGACGTGTTGTTCAACAGCTTCTGGTGTCACTCATAAAGGTTACTCCACCTGGAGCCTCATTAAACAAAGAAAAGCACAAAGCAGTCTGGAATGATGGCTCAGTGGGTAGGAGCATGGACCTCTCTTTCAGAGGACACAGGTTCAATTCCCACCATCTACATGAAGTGCCTCACAACCAGGTGTAACCCCAGAAGATGTGGCGCCCTCTTCTGGACTCCAGGGGTGCCTGCACTTATGTGAATATACACACATGGACACATAAATAAAAAATAAAATAGCTGTTTTAATGAAAAACATAAACGTGTGCAGAATATCATCTAAATATCTTAGAGCAAAAGAGAGAGTGTGTGTGTCTAGCCTATGAGAGGCACACAATAAAAGCAGAAACAGACCCATTGAACTGGAACTGATGGTGGCCACACAGAGAGAAACAGTGTGAGGCTTTAGAACCTGATCTCTACTGTGACCTTGAGGGCTACAGCTGAAGGGCACAGAGAACCACAAATAAACCTAGCTGTTAGGATGGTGAAAAGCCACCTTCTCCCCAAACTTCGTCTCCCTGGTTGCCCTCCTCAGAGCCAGCTGTGGACAAATAATTGCTGGTATATAATCTCAACATTGCATTGTTGTCTAAGAGAGCATATGCCTTTGCATGCTATTCCACAACACGCAAACTCCATACCGAAATGCCCCTTGCTGTTGCATGTTAGGTTGCTGCCCTAAACTGCGTTGCTGCACATCCTGACCTGCATATCCGTGTGGTCCCCTTCCCTCAGGTGTTTGAGTCTGTGGATGAGGTGGAGCAGACAGAGGCAGAAGGCAGGCTGGAGGAGAAACAATCCAAAATCCCCAATGGGAACCCTGCAAATGGTACTTGCTCCCCAGACTCAGGACACCCCTCTTCCCACAACTTCTCCTCCGGCCTCTCGGAGCACTCGGAGCCCAGTCTTAGCACCGAGGACAGCGTCTTGGATGCCCAGCGCAGCCTCCCCGCTGTGTTCCGACCTGGGGACAGCAGTGTGGAAGATGGGCAGAGCAGCGAGGCCACCACTTCCCGTGACGAGGCCCCTCGGGAGGAGCTGGCAGTGCAAGACAGTCTCGAGAGTGACCTTCTCGCCAACGAGAGCATGGATGAGTTCATGTCCATCCCCGGCAGCCTGGATGTGGTCCTGCCTGAGAAGGATGGTGCCATGATGGAGGGCTGGCCCAGCGAGGCGGACAAGCGTGGCCGGGCTGACAGCGAGGACAACCTCTCAGAGGAGCCTGAGATGGAGAGCCTCTTCCCCGCCCTGGCTTCCCTGGCCGTGACCTCTGCCAACAACGAGGCGTCACCTGTGTCTTCCAGCGGTGTCACCTACTCTGTAAGTCACCGGGGGACTTTCCCAGAGGACGGTGAGACTGGCCATAGTTGGCATCATTCTCCCCATTATAGGGAGTCACTGTAGAAGCAGGAAGGGCTGCTGAGCTAGGAGCCAGGTTCTGTTCCTGCTCCTGGCTGGGACAAGTCCCCTCCCAGGACCCCAGTTCCCTAGCTGCTCCCTGGAGCCTCCTCAGAGGTGACCTTGGCCTTTGCTGGCTAAGGCCGACCTCTGCCCTCACAGACTTAACACAGAGCTCAGAAACAAACCCACTTTTACCATGATGCATCAGTCATCAGCTTCCACATACATGCCTTGTGACAACCAGTCACCCAAGGCCAGTGGCTTTTCCCAACCCGCACTGTGCCATAGATTTGTCTCTGAGTCTGTGGGTCAGGCTGAAGCTCTGCCCCAAGCTGGGCAGGATGTGGTTCATTATAATGTTGGCTGTCGGATTCTGGTCTGTGTTTCATCCTGGGCTAACCTGGGCCAACCTGGGCTCATGCTCATGACACAGCTAAGGCTGGACTTGGGTTCATTCTGCAACCCAGCTTCTAACTTACAGCAATCCTCCTGCCTCCTGAGAACTGGGGTGACAGCTTCGCATCACTTCTAAACATAATAAAAATATTTGCTTAGCATTCTGTCTCTGATGCAGCTGTGTGTGTGAACGCACTTGTGAGTGTGCACGTGTGCACAGAAGCACACATGTCTGCCTGCAATCCCAGCACTCTAGGTGTTAAGGCAGGAGGATGATGCGTTCCAGGCTAGCCTGGGCTACGTCAGTGAGACCTGGTCTCAGAAGAAAACTTTTTCATCATGCAAATTTGAAAATAGCTTTTCCAGGAAACAAAGAAAGAAAACTCTGGAGTGAGCTGTTGGGATGTGAGGGCTGGAAGCAGTTCTAGGGGTCAGGGTCCCCTTTATCCCCTTCTTGCCGCAGCCAGAGCTACTGGACCTGTACACAGTGAACCTCCACCGCATCGAAAAAGACGTGCAGAGGTGTGACCGCAGCTACTGGTACTTCACGGCTGCCAACCTGGAGAAGCTGCGGAATGTCATGTGCAGGTGGCTGACTGTAGCTGGGGAACAACGGGCGGGGGGGGGGGAGGATGCATGCAGTGGAGATGAGATAGGGGGAGGGGGAGGGGGATGCATGCAGTGGAGATGAGATGGGGAGGGGGAGGGGGATGCATGCAGTGGAGATGAGATGGGGGAGGGGGAGGGGATGCATGCAGTGGAGATGAGATGGGGGAGGGGGAGGGGATGCATGCAGTGGAGATGAGATGGGGGGGGGGGGAGGGGATGCATGCAGTGGAGATGAGATGGGGGAGGGGGGAGGGGATGCATGCAGTGGAGATGAGATGGGGGGGGGGGAGGGGATGCATGCAGTGGAGATGAGATGGGGGAGGGGGAGGGGATGCATGCAGTGGAGATGAGATGGGGGGAGGGGGAGGGGATGCATGCAGTGGAGATGAGATGGGGGAGGGGGAGGGGATGCATGCAGTGGAGATGAGATGGGGGAGGGGGAGGGGATGCATTCAGTGGAGATGAGGAGCCTGGGGGAGGGGGAGGGGGAGGAGATGCATGCAGTGGAGATGAGGAGCCTGGGGGAGGGGGAGGGGGAGGGGATGCATGCAGTGGAGATGAGGAGACTGGGGGAGGGGGAGGGGATGCATGCAGTGGAGATGAGGAGACTGGGGGAGGGGGAGGGGATGCATGCAGTGGAGATGAGGAGCCTGGGGGAGGGGGAGGGGATGCATGCAGTGGAGCTGAGGAGCCTGGGGGAGGGGGAGGGGATGCATGCAGTGGAGCTGAGGAGCCTGGGGGAGGGGGAGGGGATGCATGCAGTGGAGCTGAGGAGACTGGGGGAGGGGGAGGGGTGATAAAGTGATGAAGGGGATGGGGGATGCTGGGAGGGATGGGTGAGAGATGAGTGATGGAGGATGGGAATGGGGATGGGAAGATAGAGGGAGGGAGGTAAAGATGGGATGATTTGGGGAAAGTGAGGGCTGCAGGCAGTCCAGCTGAAGCTTTGCTTCTTGTTACTGATACCACACTGATACGGAGTTTTATTTCAATTATAGTAATAATATAGGACAAAGTCAGGAGAGACAGCTATTATTCATAGGGACTGGTTCATAGGGTCCCAATTCCTGGCAGACAGACAGAGGGACTCAGTATGGCAACTCCCTAAAGGCTTTCACGAGTCACTATTTGTGCAAAGTGAACACATCCATGTAGCCAGAGAAGAGCACTTGAAAGCTGTGTGTGGGCTTGGAGGAGGAGTTGAAGATAGTTCCATATCATGCACCCATGATAGTATGCTCAGAGACGGGGGTGGGGTGGGTACAGTGCTCTGTGATGCCCTCTGGGGCAGGGTTGCCATGATGGCTGTAGCTAGGATGTATGGCGACACTGAGGGTGGGCATCAGGCCGAGGGATGGAGGACCAGATGTGAGAAAGGGGCAAGGAGAGCTTGGAAAAGCAGGCTGGGAGTGGATGCAGGCTGGGAGGGGATGCAGGCTGGGAGGGGTGCAGGCTGGGAGGGGATGCAGGCTGTGTGGGGATGCAGGCTGGGAGGGGATGCAGGCTGAGTGGGGATGCAGGCTGAGTGGGGATGCAGGCTGGGAGGGGATGCAGGCTGGGAGGGGATGCAGGCTGGGAGGGGATGCAGGCTGTGTGGGGATGCAGGCTGGGAGGGGATGCAGGCTGGGAGGGGATGCAGGCTGGGAGGGGATGCAGGCTGAGTGGGGATGCAGGCTGGGAGGGGATGCAGGCTGGGAGGGGATGCAGGCTGTGTGGGGATGCAGGCTGGGAGGGATGCAGGCTGGGAGGGGATGCAGGCTGGGAGGGGATGCAGGCTGGGAGGGGATGCAGGCTGAGTGGGGATGCAGGCTGGGAGGGGATGCAGGCTGGGAGGGGATGCAGGCTGGGAGGGGATGCAGGCTGGGAGGGGATGCAGGCTGTGTGGGGATGCAGGCTGGGAGGGGATGCAGGCTGAGTGGGGATCCAGGCTGGGAGGGGATGCAGGCTGAGTGGGGATGCAGGCTGGGAGGGGATGCAGGCTGGGAGGGGATGCAGGCTGTGTGGGGATGCAGGCTGTGTGGGGATGCAGGCTGGGAGGGGATGCAGGCTGGGAGGGGATGCAGGCTGTGATGCGCTCATTGTACCCTTCTCCTGCAGCTACATCTGGCAGCACATTGAGATTGGCTACGTCCAGGGCATGTGTGACCTTCTGGCCCCGCTGCTGGTCATCCTGGATGATGGTGAGTGTGTCCCTCCTGTTGGACTTTTAAAAAAGTGTTGTCATACAAGAGAAAGAGGCCATGTGAAAGAGTTTGGGTGGAAAGAGAGAGAGAGAGAGAGAGAGAGAGAGAGAGAGAGAGAGAGAGAGAGAACAGGGGCGGGCCCCATTTAAAAGAGGACATGGTGAATGTGCACAGGTGGTGCTCTTAGTGGCTGCAGCTGAGGGTGAATCCTATCAGAACCCCAAGGGCAGGCCAATACAGATACCTGAATACTAGCATCCCTGCCCTGTAGGAGAGTAAGGTCAGCCTCACTTATGTCTCCATGGACTGAGTCAGGACAGGTGCACAGCCTGGTGATCACGTCCCAAACCCAACAGCTTGAGATATCCTCCTGTTCCATAGTGCACCGCACTGAGGCCCACCTGGCTATAGTGAGCCATTGCTTGACCATGAATGAGAACAAAGTAAAGCCTGGTCCAGATGGCATCCCTGGTATAAGCTCTTCCAATAAAAAAATAAATCATCAAAAAAATAAACTCAATCCAATGATATATAAAGGGTTATATAACACGACCAATTGGGGTTTATCCCAGAACTGCGTGGACATTTAAAATGTAAGCAACGATCAATATAAGCCAGCACCTGAATATAAAAGGCAGGCAGGATCTGATAGCCATGCCTGTGGTCCCAGCACTGGGGAGGTAGAGGCAAGAGGGTCAGAGGTTCAGAGTCATCCTTGACCAAGGTGAAATTAATGCTAGCAGGGCTACATGAGGCCCTGTCTCAAAATATTAAAGGCAGGGGGATGGGGTGGAAGAAGAACTGGAAAGGAGTTGAAATTAGCTATGCTGTCCTGGTCCCGGGTGGTTTGACTTCAGGATAAAAATCTAAAGAACAAGAAAACAGAACAGAACACGTGAGTCCATCAGGGTTGTAGCATATAAGATCAAAAAGCAGAAATCTTGTATTTCTATACAGCTAAGCTAAACAATCCCAACCTGAAATTAATACAAGCCTGTGCATCACGTCTGCTAAAGAAAGAGTGTTTTTAAGACCACAAGGCATTGTTGGCCGGAGGGGAGGAACCATAAAGTGTGTGTGGGGGGGGGAAGATCTCCCACCACAGCTGGAAGGCTTGGTGTTTCCGGGAGACATTCTCCTCTGGATCGTGCATGGACTCAGAAAAGCCCTGTCAAAATGCCTAGCTGCAGTGGCAGGGTGGCTCAGGCAGGGTGGCTCGGAGCGCAAAGGCGTGGCTACCAACCCTCAGGACCTGAGTTTGATTTTGGTGAAAGGGGATAATCTACTGCCACAAGTTGTACACACACACACACACACACACACACACACACACACACACACACAGAGAGACAGAGACAGAGACAGACACAGAGACCGACAGAGACACACAGACAGAGACAGGCACAGACATAGACAGACCAACAGAGACAAACACACAGACAGAGACAGGCAGACACAGAGCTTTGTTGCCCCTACTAGGGCCTGTACATAGGTTCTAGGCTGCAACTGAGAAAGAAGGGATTGCGGTTGACACTCAGCTGGCCAACCAGAGTTCAGAGTCAGTTCAACTCCACACGCTCAGTCATTTCAAGGTGTTAGCTGCTACAGTGCAGCACGCGAAAGATGGAAGGCCCCTGCCTCACTGGCCGCACACAGGAAACTCACTTGAACTTGATCCCAGAAAGAACCAAAGTGCTAGAGCTCTTAGAAGAAAACTTCGGGGTAAGTGCTTGTGACTTTGCTGGGACGGTTGGTGCTGGTCAGCTGGGAGAGGACACTAGCATCATTGATGTAAAATCTCCTGGAAACTGTCTACTCGCGGTCAGCAAGCAAAAACTGGTCCACGGGTTGGGGGCAGCGAGGGGCAAGGCTGGCAGCCAAGCTAAGAGTCTCCTGGGTGGTACTGGCTTTGAAGTTTTTCAAAGGCAGTCTGGTATGGCAAGTTTCTATACTGCAGGGTTTCTCAGAGCCTTTACTTTCTTTTTTTAACGTTGAAGGTTTAGTTTGTTTTTAGTTTGCTGTGTGTTTTGCCTGCCTATGTGTCTGTGCACCACAAGCCTACTACAGTGGAGGCCGGAGAAGGATGACTGATCCCTTGGAACTGGAGTTAGAGATGCTTGTGAGCCGCCATGTGGGAGCTGGGAATCAAACCTGGCTCCTCTGGAAGAGCAGCCAGTGCTCTTAACCACTGAGCCATCGTTCTGGCCCCTACTTTCTTAATATATGTAAACAGATATTCTTGGCAGCATTTGCCAAAGGAGTTTGTCCTCTCTTTACATGGCATCAGCCAAAGCTTGTACTATGTCCACAGTGGTTTTTTTAAAAAATATTTTTATATTTTAATTTTTTATTTTTATTTAAATATTTTTAATATTTATTTTTATTTTATGTGCATTGGTGTTTTGCCTGCATGCATGTCTGTGTGAAGGTCCCTGGGAAATGGAGTTACAGACGGTTGTGAGCCACCATGTGGGTGCTAGGAATTGAACCCTGGACCTCTGGGAGAGCAGTCAGTGTTCTTAGCCACTGAGCCATCTCTCCAGTCCCCCACCCCCTACCCCACAGTTGCTTTTGGACACAATGACTTCCATGAATTGGTAGAATTTCTGAAGGTAAGAAATATAGAGACCCACAAAGCAGAGTGTGTGGGCTTTGTGTGACAGCCGTGGGGACCTATGAAAGGAGCATCTCTGTCTGACAGCCGCAGTTCCTCCCAGTGCCTCTCAGGTGAGATCAGTGATGCACTAGCCATCATTGAGCATCAGAGGGAGTGGCTTCTGTTGAGCCCTCCCTGCCCACCTGCTTCTCTTGTGACTCTGCTCTGGACCTCACACAGTGCCTGAGGCAGTGGCCGGGCTGGCTAACCCTTTAACCCTTTGTCGTGTGCTGTCCCCAGAGGCCCTGGCCTTCAGCTGCTTCACGGAACTCATGAAGAGGATGAACCAGAACTTCCCCCACGGCGGTGCCATGGACACGCACTTTGCCAACATGAGGTCCCTGATCCAGGTATGGAGGCTTCCTGCTCTGACTTTAGTGGAGACAAGGAGTACAGGCAAATGGCTTCCGATCTCACTCGTGCACACAAGCACCTAGTTAATAGTGTGATTCCTCCACCCTCTTCCTTCTGTGCTTACCTCCCTCCCCCTCCCCAGCTGGAGGTCTCCATGGGTCCTCCTCCAGATCACTTGTGCCCTGCTAGCTACTCCCCTTCTCTGTTGCTCCCTGACCTCCCTACCCTGGCAATGTCCCCTTCCTAACTTTCCTGTTCTGCAGTTACTTGAGACTGTGGACTGGCATCCGAAGACTTGGAGCTGAGAGAGTCAGATGAGAGAGAACACACCATGTCTGTCTGCCTGTCTGTCTGTCTGAGTCTGGGTTATTTTGCTCAATACTGTTTTCTAGTCCCATTCCTTTGCCTTCAAAAGTCAGGGTTTCCTTTTTCTTTACAGCTGAACGCTATTCTACGTGCCGCACTTCCATTATCCATCCATTGGAGGAAGGAAGGGTGTTAGGTTGCTCCCATTCCCTGGCTGTTGTGAATAGAACAGCAAGGAACTGTAGAGTAGGATGTTGAGTGCTTCAAGCACATGCCAAGGACTGCTACAGCTGGTTCATAAGTTAGATGTACTGTTGGCTGTTTGAGTTCTCCACACTGATTTCCACAGTGGCTGTACCACACCACCAACAGTGAGTGTGATTTCCACAGTGGCTGTACCACACCACCAACAGTGAGTGTGCCCTCTCCACCCTGGCCAGCATTTGTTGTTGGTTGTCCTGTCAGTCTTGGCCATTCTGACTGTGGTGAGGTGAAACCTCAAAGTTGGTTTGATAGGCATTTCCCTAGCTGCCAAACAGAATCTACTAGAGGCTCCTGCCACCTCCCAGGCCAGCTTCAGGCTGAGTTATGCAGGGAATCCACACAGGTTGGAACTCTAAACACTGTAGGGAGAGCTCAAGGCCAAGGTGGCTCTTGCTGCTGCTTTGGTGGGATTCTAAGAAGCCACTGAATATTTTGAATACAAAAGGTTGAAGAAGCAGGAGGGCTCAGGGGTGATTGCTGCTAAGTCTGGTGAGTACATTTTCATCAGTTGAGTTCACACCCGAGAGAGAGAGAGACAGAGACAGAGACAGAGAGAGACACAGAGACAGAGACACAGAGAGAGACACTGCCAGAGATGGTTGGTCAGCACAAGAAAAGGGACCATAGTTCAGGTCCTCAGCACCCTTGTCAAAACCAAGCATGGGGTGTTACCTTTGTAAGCCCAGTGCTGGAGGAGCAGGGGCAGCCGCGGAGCAGCTCTGCATTCCCAGCAGAGGGTTCTGTTTACTCTGAACACTTGCCAGCACTTGCCACTGTCTGTCAGTTTGATTTCAGCCTTTCCAGTGGGTGTGAGCTTGCCTGGTTGTTCTAACTTGCTTTCCCTGATCTTGGGCCAGCCCCATGCTGGCCGTTGTAAATCCTCTTTGGAGAGAAGTCTGCATGCGCCCTTTTGCTCACCGAGAGCTGATGTGTGCAGGGTGGATGGGCGTGCAGCACGGTGGATTCTGCTGTACCGTCTGGCCCAGCCCTTTCCCCTGGTGGAGAGGCTGACAGCTTGCTCTGTCCCCATCAGATCCTGGACTCCGAGCTCTTCGAGTTGATGCATCAGAACGGGGACTACACCCACTTCTACTTCTGCTACCGCTGGTTCCTGCTGGATTTCAAACGAGGTACAGGCTGCCACCTGGGGACTGGACCCAAGTCTTTATGGTAGAATCCCTGGGGCGGTTATGATGGGGAAGTGGAGGCTGAGGAGGGCACAGGAGCAAAGGTGGCTGAAGAGAGAACACTTACACAAATCTGTCCATCTTGGCACATGCCTTATCACAAAATGGCTGTGCAGAAGGAGCCATAAAATCCCTGTTCTGGGGCTTGGGAGACAGCTCTGTCATTAAAGTGTCTGTACAAGCGTGAAGACCTGAGCTCCGATCCCAGCACCCACGTAGAAACCTAGGTGTGGGGGCTGGCCAGGTGGTAAAAGCACTTGACACCCAAGATGGATGACTGGAACCTGTTTGGTTAAAAGAGAGAACCTATTCCCACAAGTTGTCCTCTGACGTCCACACATGTGCTGGGCCATGTGCCCCACCCCCAAAACTTAATAATTTAAAAAATTCAAAAAGCTAAGAGTAGCCATGCATGTTGCATGTCTGTGATTCAGTGCAGGGGGAGAAGATGCTCGCTGGCCAGCCAGCCCAGTCAGATTGGTGGACTCCATGAGCTGAAGGTCACAGGAGGAGGGTGTTGACGTCCAGACATCCACGTCGGGTCTCCACAGACATGCACACACATTTGCACACGAACACACACACACACACACACACACACACAGAGAGAGAGAGAGAGAGAGAGAGAGAGAGAGAGAGAGATTTCTGTTTCATAGAGAAAAAAGCAAACAAGTCAAGCACAGCTAGGAAGAAGGGAATCAGGTCGCAAGCTTGGTTCTTCCCATCTATCTCTGGATGAGTCCCTCCCTCCTACTTTCCTGCTAGCAGAGACCAAGAACTCTTCAGCTAAGGGGACTTCAAGCGTATTTCACGATGGACATAGAAAGAATGTCACCTCTGAATGCGTGCCATTGTACAAACTTGGGTGAGGCTAGCAACACTTGATCTGTGTAGTGGTGTTAAGCACCTGCCCCACGCTGTGTCTCATTCCGGGTCCTTTACTGTGACCAGCAGGCCCCGTGCAAAGTTGAGGTTCAGAGAGACTGGAAGGGGACATCACCAGCCCACAGCCCCTGGCTGGTTAGTGAAGGGCTGGGACTCAAAGCCAGCTTATTAGACTTGATAGCCTTGCTCTTAAGGCAATGGTTCTCAACATGTGGCCGTGACCCCTTTCACAGGGGTAGCTTAAAACCATCTGAAAACACACATTTCCAATGGTCTTAGGAACTAAAGAAGCAATCTCAATCTTGGCACTGAAGCTGGCTGTCTGCACATACTGTTGCAAAATGTAGCAGTGTGGTTTACTGTTGTTGTAGCAAGATTGTTACCCATGCTACACCATGCTTCAAGATAAAATTTCATTCATTTGTACTTAGAGATAAATATTTTTAATTGTATTTACACATTGTTTCTTGTGATTAATCACTGTATTCCATTTGTAACAAATGAAAATACATCCTGCATATCAGATATTTACATTACGACTCATAACAGTAGCAAAACTACAGGTATAAAGTAGCAGTGAAGATAATTTTACAGACAGGCGTCACCATAACATGAGGAACTGTGTTAGAGGGTCGCAGCATTTGCTAGGTTGAGAACCACTGTTTCCAGGGCTCTTCCACACTGCTACTCTGACACAGTGGCCAGCTTGCCAATGTGCTCAGGCACTGAGAGCCATTGGTGAATGCTACTGGAGGGGGGGGGGCGGGGAAGGACAGTAGTAGAGGTCAGGGACAGTCCCATGCCAATCAAACCCGCACATGCTCAGATTCTTCACACAGGCACCTTGGACCGAGTCCATAGATGGGGAAACTCGGTCTTCGAGGGTGGGATGACAGGGTCTGGGTCTCCTGCTGCAGCAGGGCGTGAACACAGGGCTGGCCTGGGACTGTCACCTAAGGAAGCAGGATGCTTGCATGGAGGACTAGGGAAGACTGGCCTTGCGCTCTGCTCTGGACCAGCTCCTATGCGCATGTGTGTTGTCCACAGAGCTGGTCTATGATGACGTCTTCTCCGTGTGGGAGACTATCTGGGCGGCCAAGCACGTGTCCTCCGCCCACTACGTGCTGTTCATCGCGCTGGCACTGGTGGAGGTCTACCGAGATATCATTCTGGAGAACAACATGGACTTCACTGACATCATCAAGTTCTTCAATGGTACCAAGGGGCGGGGCTGGACGTGGGGCTCTCCGTGTGGGGGGCTCCAGACGCCAGCAGCTTGACAGGTCCCAGTCATTCCCCTGCCTCCACCTTGCTGCTTCCACAGCTCGTGCGGGCATGCACATAACACTTATGTGCTGGGACCGAACCCGGTACTTGCACAGCAAGCACCCTCACCCACTGAGTGTCTGTCTCCCCGGTCCTCTATGGCCCCTTAGTAATAGAGTTGGGGTCTCAACCTGCTCCAGGTGTTTTCTCTATGCTGAGGCTCAGGGACAGTGCCTGGCTTTGCCTGGCCAGCTGTGCCCAGTGACACGATACTGTCCCGCCTTTGAATATCAACTTCAGCTATGGAATATCAGGGTCTGAACCACAGGAAGCATGCATAGGGATGCTCTTGGAGTGGCAAGGAATAGGTCCCAGCGGGACATTGGGTGTGGCCTTTTCTAAATGACATCATATCTGGGCCTTAGTACTTCAGGGAAAAGAAAAAAAAATGCAGCAAACTCCTCCTCCCTCAAGGGAAGACCAGAGAATTAATGATGAGATATAAAAAAGCCCTTCACAGGTACCTGTCCCCATGAGGGGCCCAATAAACAAGGTAATTGCTGCTGTTATTGCCACTTAAACAGTAATTAAATGCTGAAAACTAGGCCTGGTTTCCAGCTCCATCACAGAGCACTAGCAAACACTAGGCCCGGGGCATCTCACCCCAAGCCTTAAAGACTAAAGAAGGTTCTAGAAAAAAAAAATAAATAAAACTACCCGCGACCCACCTAGGTTTCTTTCAAGTCAGCTTTTTCTTTTGGGATAATTTTGGGTTTTAGTTACATACTAAAAATTTATATTTAGGAATTTTTTTTTTTCTGGGAAAGTTACAAAGATAGTACCAAGCGGAGGTGTTATCATTTCCTAGCTTCCTTCATTTCCATTGCCGCTTTATATGTTTCTGGAACACTAAAACTGAGAAATTAACATCATCGGACCTTGTGAGTTTCACCTGCACCAGAAACCGGCTAGGAAGAAGCCACAATGGCTTCAGTGCAGCTGTTAAACAAGCCAGCCAGCTAGCAAATGCAATCCCAGGCTGGGGCTGGGACTCAGCTGAGTGTTTGGGCGCCTGCATGAAGCCTCGTACCAGCATGCCCACACGAACTGGGTGTGGCAGGGCACACCTGCAGTTCCCACCCTGGAAATAAAGGCAGGAAGAGCAGAAATATCATATTCTCACTATTTGTCATGGGCGCAGGAGGCTTCTGTTGTTTCCTGGCTATTGTGAGCAGAAGAGCAGCGGCCATGACCGGCAAGTATCTGTGGACCAGGAGTCCTTTGGGCAGACGCCAAGGGGTGCTGTAACTGGCTCATCGAGTGGATTTATTTTCAGTTCTTTGAGAATTCTCTGCACTGGTCCTCAGAGTGGCTGGGCCGGTTTGCGTTCCCGCCAACAGTGAATGGGCCCTGCCCCTCCCCCCTTCCCATCCAGCATTTGTTGTCTGCTCCTTTGATCTGTGCCATTCTGACTGAGGGGTGACTGAAATCTAAGTTGCTTTGATCTGCGTTTTTCCTAACTGCTAGAGATCGCGAGCTTTCTCTTAGATACCTCTTAGGCATTTTTATTTCTCTTCTCGAGAACTCTCTATTCGGGTCTCAGGTCCATTTTTTTTTTTAATTAATCAGATGGATTACTGGCAAAGATTCCCTCCCACTCTGTGCGCTCCTGCATGCAAGTGGCTGTTTCCTTGGCTCAGTTTTATGAAGCCTTGCTTGACAGTCGGTCGTCGGCCTTAGTTCTCAAGCAAATGGAGTTCTACCCAGGAAGTCTGTGTCCTGTGGGGCTGCCTATGTTCTCTCCTAGCTGTTTCAGGGTTCACACTGAGGTCTGTCTTAATTACAGTTTCTATTGCTGGGATGACCGAAGAAACTTGAGGAGGAAATCATTCATTTGGCTTACATTTCTACATCACTGTTCACCATTGAAGAAAGTCAGAATAGGAACCCAAGCAGGACAGGAACCTGGAGGCAGGAGCTGATGCAGAGACCATGGAGGGTGCTGCTCACTGGCTTGCTCCCCATGGCTTGCTCAGCCTGCTTTCTTATAGAATCCAGGATCAGCAGCCCAGGGGTGGCCCCACCCACAATGGGCTGGGCCCTCCCCCACTGTAGTGGTTTGAAAAAAAAAATGGCCCCCAAAGAGAGTGGCTTTGTTGGAGTTGTTATGGCCTTGTTAGAGAAAGTGTGGGGAGTGTGCTTTAAGATTTCATGTGCTCTGGCTGTTGGTGGGAATGTGTGCCTTTAATCCCAGAACTTGGGAGGCAGAGGCAGGCAGTGAGTTCAAGAACAAGTTCCAGGACAGCTAAAGATATACAGAGAAACCCTGTCTGGGGGAAAAAAAAAGATTTCATACGCTCAAGCTACTCCCAGCATCACAGTCCACTTCCTGTAGCCAGGACCATGTCTGCCTGCATGCCATCTTGCTCCCACCATGATGATAACAGACTGAAGCTCTATACTATAAGCCACCACCCCAATTAAGTGTTTTCCTTTGTAAGAGTTGCCTCTTACGAGGTGTCTCTTCACTGCAGTAGAAATCTTAAGACACTCATTGATCACAAATTAAGAAAATGTTCCGTAGACTTGCCTACAGCCTGATCTTGCCGAGACATTGTCTAAGTTGAGGATAACTATAGTTTGTGTCAAGTGGATCTAAAAGTATCCAGCACAGGGGCTTTGATACATTTGAAGTTAGTTTTGTGCAGGGAGATAGATACTGGTCTAATTTCATTCTTCTGCATGTGGATACCCAGTTTTCCCAGGGGCTTGTATTGAAGACACTCTTTTCTCCAATGTATACTTTTGAGCCATCAATTATTAGATTGCTGTAGGTATTTGCAGTCACATTTGCATCTTCTCTTTTGTTCCATTGGTTTCATGCCTGGTTTTGTAACTGTGGCTCTGTAATATGTCCTGAAACCTGGATTGCTAACCCCATCCAGCGTTGTTCATTCTGATCTGGGTTGCTTTGGCTATCCGAGGACTTTGTGGTTCCTTATGGATTTTAGAATGTTTCTTCCTAATTTGTGAAGAGTGAGGTGGGGATTTTGATTGGGATTGCAAGGAATATGTAAATTTCTCTGTAGAGCCGTGTCGTCATGTTTTGGTGCTAATTCCGAGAGCATGGGGGGATCTTTCTATTTTTCTAGTGTCTCTCAACCTTTCTTCAGAAGTTTGAAGATTTTTATGATAGAGGCCTTTAGCCTGTTTGGTTAAGTTTGTTCCTGGGTATTTTATTTTCTTTGAGGCTGATATGAATGGGAGTGTGCCCACGCTGTTGTATAGGAAGGCTACTGATTCTGTAAATTCTTTAGGCATCCTGCCACATTGCTAAAAGTGATGATTGTTCTAGAAGTTTTGTGGTAGGATATTGAGCATCTTTTATATAGTCTCCTGTCATCTGCAAACAGGAATAGTTTGGCTTCTTTGTTTGTTGAGGGAGGGTTTCTCTGTGTAGCCCTGGCTGTCCTGAAACTCATTCTTTAGACCAGGTGGACCTCAAACTCAGAGATCCACCTGCCTCTGTCTCCCAAGTGCTGGAATTCAAGGCATGGGCCACCAACTTAGTTTGGCTTCTTTGGTTTGTATCCCTTTAATTTCATTCCCTTTCCAAATGTGACTGTACATCACACAATGTCCCCAAGTGTTTACCAGGATCTCCAGGGGGGTACCTCAGCAGCTGCTTTAGGAATCAGGGTCTTACCTTTCTTTCTCTTTATGAAATGCTTTCTCCATGTTGGAGTCAACCTTCGAATTATCCTGCTGTAGGCAGAGCTTTGAAGGTCTAAGCATTTTGTGTGGCTCTTGATATTTCTTCCCTTTCCTTCTCTCCACCGACCATGGTTTTCTTCATTCCCATAGAATCTTTAAGAATCTGACACATGGGGGTTGGAGAGATGGCTCAGTGGTTAAGAGCACTGGCTGCTCTTCCAGAGGTCCTGAGTTCAATTCCCAGAAACCATGTGGTGGCTCACAGCCATCTGTAATGAGACCAGGTGTGGTGACCTCTTCTGGCCTGCATGCAAAAATGCAGGCAGAACACTGTTTACATAATAAGTAAAAATCTTTTAAAGATTAAAAAAAATATCTGCCACATGGCTTTATACTACCTTTTTTTTTTTTTTTTTTTTTTTTTGACTAAATCTTTCTATGTATCCCAAGCTGACCTCCAACTCTCAATCCTCCTGCCTCGGCTCTCCCATTGCTGGGATTACAGGCATGCACTGCTGTGTCTGGCTTATACTCACAGACATCCTGCCTGCAGGGGAGGGTGGAGGAACCAGTCTTCTCCTAGCACACTCTGAGCCAGCATCACTTCTTTCTGTTTCCATGGTAACATTGTGCAATGGCTTCCTGTTACGGTCCTCATTTTACAGATGGGGAAGCTGAGGTCTGGAGGTGCATGGCTCCTTTCAGAGTCACTCTGTGGTGGGGACACCCGGAGCTAGAGGAATCTCCCGGGGGTGACACACAAGGTCACTCACGAGTTTGTCTTCTCTTTCAGAAATGGCTGAGCGGCACAATGCCAAGCAGATCCTGCAGCTGGCCCGGGACCTCGTCCACAAAGTGCAGATTCTGATCGAGAACAAGTGAGGGGCAGCCGCAACAGCCAGGCATCCCTGCTGTCATCCATCCCCTCCCCTCCCGCAGCCCAGCACGAGGTCCGGGTGCCTGCGGACCAGCATGGACTCTGTGCAGAGAGCCATACTCTTGACCTTGGCCATTGGGCAGTGGGGTAGAAAAGAGCCCAGCTGAGCCTTATGTTTTCCTGTTTGACCAAAGATTGCCTAAGACTGGGATTTCCCTCTCTTGGGAGCTGGGGTTGTGAGTGGAGGTGGCCTCTGGGCCCTTTGTCCCTCTTCGTTTCCCTTGTTCCTTCCTCCTCTGTACGGGAGGGGCCTCTGGGTCTTCCTCTGCACCTGGCAAGAAGGGCCTCTGGAGGGGTTCCAGAATATTCCTGCCAGGCTGGCTTGGAGCAGGGTCTCCCTTGGGCATTACTCACATTCGAAGTCCTAGATGTCTCTGGGCATCACCCCTGCCTTTGAACCACTGGGTGTCACCAGTAAAACCTTCCAAGGTGACCCAAATGTCCCTGCACAGCAGATGTGTGCCCCACCAGAGAACCACTGGCTTGGAGGAGGGGCTACCAGCATATCCCTGTCTGCTCTCTTCATGCCGAGTCACCTGGGGTCTGTTCCATTGCCCTGCCAGAAGCACACAGCTTGCCACAGCCCTACTGGAGTGTTTTCTAGCTTTTTCTCTGCCCGCTGCTGGGAGAATCTTTTTAGGAAGGCATCCTGTGAGTACCCTGGGGATCGGAGAAGTATTCGAAAGTGGGCGGTAGGAGCTCCTGATGAGAGCTAACCCTTACTCCCCTCCCCTAGGTGGGGAGACCTCAGCCATGACCTGTAGGCCTGGGTTCTTGTGGAAGCCTGCAGAGGGGTGTGTGTGTGTGTGTGTGTGTGTGTGTGTGTGTGTGTGTTACCTGCTCAGGTAAACTATCTCTTCTCTAAGCACTTTGTTCACCAGGGGTTAGCCGATGGCAAGTTTGGTCTGTGTTCCACAATAGTGAGCTGGGGCCAGGGGTGGGCCTGAAAATGGTTCCTCTACATCTTCATGCTGAGATCCGCCTGTCCACATGCTGACCCTGAATGAGCTTTTGTATCTGCTCACTGTCCCTCAGTAGAGCGGTCTGGGATACAGCAGAAATCAAGCATCATATGGAAGTCTCTGGGGGAAGTCAAGGAGTGACAAGTAGGGCTTCACAGAGAGGAGACATGTGTGTTTGAAACATCTCCGGGGTACCTGTAGCCTTGAGCCCTACTCTGCAGGCTTGTGAGGTCCTCCTTCCTTCTGCCACACCTCCTGAGTCAAAACCTCTGCCCTTCACCCAGTGGGCAGGGCAGACAGAGAGAGTCCTGACTGGGTCTCCAGGGACAGTGCATTTGTGCAGGGCAGCAGGAAGGGAGGTGACCTAATGACCACGGTCGCCTCCCAGCCACAATCCCCCCCCCCAGCTTCCCAAGATGGGAGAAGAAAGGACCGCCAGATAAAAAGTTTATTTTGCAGCAGGGCTGCTGTCTCAAAGGGTGTTATTTTAGCACAGCCAGGTCCAGACCTCCTGACCCTTATTTATTTTTGTAGCTGGCCAGTGTGGAGTATAGCACAAGATCCCCCTTCCTCCTCCTCCTTGTGCCTCCCGAGCTCGAGTGCTTGTGGTTCTGAGTGCCTCGTATTTATTCCACTTACCAGCTGATGTCTGTGTGTCGTGTTTCCTCCTGTCCTGGAGTTGGGCATTGGGGGAGTGGCCCCTGCCCGGGGAGTTCTGTTTTTAGTGTTGCCCGAGTGTCTTGTGTCTACTGAAGAGGTGGTTCTGTTCAGAGAAAATATAACTGAGTGGAAAACCTAAGTGTGGGTCTAGTTACTTCGACACCTTTCTTTCTTTCTTTTCTTTCTTTCTTTTTTTGACAAGATCTCACTGTGTAGCCCTGGCTGACCTGGAACTTGCTATCCAGAGCAGATTGACCTTGAACTCAAGAGATTCCTCTGCCTTTGCCTCCCAAGTTCTGGAATTAAAGGTGTGTGCAACCACATCCTGCGTTTGTGAAGCTGGGGTTGGACAAGGTTTCATACCGTAGCCCAGGCTAGCCTTGACCTTATTCTCCAGCAGGCGCTGGCTTGAACTTCAGATCCTCCCAAGTGCTGTGAGTATGCACATGTACTGTCTTATCTTTTTGGCTTGAAGCAGAGTCTGGGAGAACCTCACCTTCTCATGTCAGGGTGATGGGAACAGTCACCTTCCCCCCCTTTCTCTCCCAGGGGAAGGGCGGATGGCCAAGTTGGCAGTGAGTGTAAACCATCACAGACAAGAAGCCCAGAGAAGGACAGACAGACATCAGAACCAGGTGGAAGGCTTCTGAGCTCCCAGAAACAGCAAAGTTTCCTTGTGGGCCTCTACTTATATAGAGGGTGGGATGAGTCCCGAGCCCCACCCAGTGGGGAGCAGCACACTGCACACAACAGACTCCCTGGAGCCCTCCCCAAGGGAGGAGGGATTCTAAGCGAAGACAGGAAACAACCTGTGCAAAGGGCGGCAGGTTAGGTGGGTGTGGTGCACACACTTTTGATCCCAGCACCTGGAAGGCAGAAGCAGGCAGATCTGAGTTTGAGGCCAGCCAGGGACTTGGTGACAGCAAACGTTTGCTGAGCTCTCTGTGCCAGACACGGGACAACATGCTCCACGTACATCCGGCAAATTAAAGTCCTTCACAAGAATTCCCTCCACAAAAGCAGGCATTACGACAACCTCCCATTTACCAAAGAATAAATGAGTCCAGAAAGGGAAAGTGATTTGCCTGAGGTCATGCAGCGTGGAAGCAGAGGAGGTGGGATTTGAACCTGAGTGTGTAGCAGTTTCATGTGACTGTAGAGTAGATTGTTCCTGTTTGCCTTTCACTTTTCCTGGGTGATGTTCGTTTGCTTATTCTGACACATGGGAGATTCCCCAAGTGTCACTAGAGGATGGGGTGGCTGTCCTCTGGCCCGTGGTCATTCGAGGCATTCCAATGACAACAAGTAGACTGGTCAGGACCCATCATCCACCCACCCACCTATCCATCCACCCATCCACTCATCTAACCACTTATCCACTTATCCATCCATCTGCCAAATCCATCCAACTATCATTCATCCATCCTTCCAACCACCTCTCCACCCATCTATCCACTCATCCAACCATCTACTCATACACCCACCTTCCTGCCCACCTATCTACCCATCCACCTATCCATCCATCTGTCCATGTGTGCACCCACCCATCCATCCACTTACCCATCAACCCATCTCTCCATCCACCCACTCTGGAGCCTGAAACACACACACGCACACCATACCCAAGCTCCTAGGCTCCACCCTTAGAACCATGCACACAGGAAATTGTTTTTCCTAGTTTCTGTGTTGTGCTTTTCTAATGTTTGGTTTAAAATCAAGCCCCAGGGAAGAGCCCTGGCAAAGAGTAGTATTTTGTTTCTCTCAGTTTGTCAACCGGTGCATCCGAGTAGAATCCTGGGTATCAGATTGCAGATTCTTGGGGGAGCTTTGACACTATGTATCTAGGTATATTCTTCCCACAACTTTAAAGAATCTATTAAAAAAATAAAGGCATAAAAAGCTCCCTGGGGGTATGGTAAGGCTAGAAATAAAATTAAAAAAAGAGCTGACAGCTTGGGGGGCCCCTACTGAGAAGGAGAAAGCAGCTCCCCAGCTCAGAAGTAAGGTCCAAGCAGATCCCTGCAGAGAAGGGAGGGGGCTGTGGGTTGAGTGTGGGATTACAGCATCAGAGAGGGGAGGTGGGCAGCTGGAGGGGTGAGGCCAGGACAGGGAGGGCTGAGGCAGGAGAGAGAGACTTGGGTTTCCCTCTGCCTGCCATGGGAAGCCCTTGGAAGGTGGATAAGCCAGTCAGCTGGTTGGGTCTGGTTTCCCTCAGCTGGGCTTGTCTGTGAGTGCGGGAATGGCGGGGGAGGGGGGCATGTGTGCCAGGGCAGGGGGAAGAGGGAGAGCTGGGACCTGTGGGACCTTGACATTCTGACTTGGGTGAGGGGTGGAGGGTGAACTGTGGGGCTCAGGCCACCTCACCCAGAGGCTCCCAGCGAACTGGAGAAGAGCGACCCTCCTTCCCTGAAGCAGAAGTGAGGCATCTTCTCAGCTCCCGGCTGGGCATCCTTGGGCAGCACGCAGCCTATCCAGGTGTGCAGTGGTGGCACTGGTAAACACAGTACAGAGAGGGGCAGACAGGACCAGGTCAGCTAAGGGCAGGCAGGACCAGGTCAGCTAAGGGCAGGCATGAGTGGCTCCAACATTGTGTGTCCTCTTGTCCCCTGATTCTGAGTTGCTAAAGGACAGGAGTAGTTCACCACTGGGGGTTCACCTCCAAGATCTCAGCAGTGTGTGCAGGAGTCTACCTGCGGCGGCCTGCACCATGGGTGTTGGAGCAGAGCCCCTCCAGGGATCCAGCCTTCTCAGGGCCAGTGCCCAGGTCAAAAGAAGAGCACTGATGGCCAGCAGGATCCAGCCTTTCAGGAGCATCATGGCCCAGACCTTCGGGGAAGAAGACAGCGAGGTGGGACCAGGCACATGGTGGTACCTCTGCCTGTTGCCCAGTGAATTCCTGAGATGTTCCCAACGTTTCCCCTATCAATAAACAGAGATCCAGAGAGTACAAGACCTTTGCCTTGAGACACAGCTAACCAAATAAGAAGTAGAGTCCAGGTCAGTGAGCCATTACATCCCATCCTTACTAAGCACCAGATAGATAGGGTCACCAGGAGAAGCCCCTGTCTGTGATGTCACCTTTGTGATCAGTTTTGGAGGCTGTGTAATCTTCCTCCCCGGTGCTGGACTAAGTGCCTGTTTTCACACACCCTCCCCCCACCCCCAATCTCCGTGAAGCACATGACCATAAGGATCCGAATACATCATCTTTCATTTGTTAAAACCCAGTAGTGCTTAGGGCAGAGTCAAGTCAGGGTGTGCAGCTTGTTCATTGCAGGTTGGGGTGTGCAGCTTGTAAACATTGCAGGCTGGGGTGTGAGGGTTGTACATTGCAGAACCACCACAGCTTTGCTTATCAATCAGTGATTTCCTAGCAGGGGGCAGGATAGTCTTGAAGAAGGTGAAATTTCCTGGCTTGCACAAAGGTTCTCTGAGGGCTAAGTGCTGCCTCTAGACAGAGTAACTCCCTGCCTGATGCCTGCAGAGCCCAAAGCTTAGAGGTGCAGTCCAGAACCCTATGCAAAGTTCTTTTGGGGTGTCCCTGATAGTTTCTGGGCTTGAGAATCTGTGTGCTCAGTCACTGGGACAAATGGTATAAGGTAAGGACCCCCAGAGCCCATGCCTCAGGAGCCAGTAGCCCCGGAAGAGCTGTGTCTCACCTTCCAGGCTTGTTCTTCAGGAACCCAAAGGTCACACGGCTCTGATCCAGCGGTCATCCTGTGGCCAGGAGCAGTATGCAAAGACACCATAGGAGGAAGCAGGGCTCTGGACCAGGCAGGGAGATGAGGCTAAGGCCAGACAGGCCTGTGAGGGACAGTCCTAGAGCCGTCCTCACACTGACTCCATCAGGGATGTGACTGACCTAGGCTGTCAAGACAAGGGGAGACGTAAGGGTACAGTGAGGTGACCCAGTGCGGGACACACCAGGCCCCGTTCACTCACACACCCATGCATTTCTCAATCCAGGTCTCCTGTTGATCTTGACTGTCAATTTGACGAG